CTCACTTTTTTGTGAATACCTAGGTACCGAACCTGTCTACATGAATTTTCTTCTAATAGTTCTACTGGCAGAACACAATGGATTCAGCGATAGAGGCAGGGCCGGATTTAGAGGTGTGTGAATACATTATAGAGGAGTTTCTTTTCTAACTCTTGCACCAATCACCAGCGTCTATCAGTTTAAATAGTAAGTAGTCAGGTTTCTTTGTTTTGGTTTTCGTATGTAGGTTGATAAAGTGGTAATTAGCGATGTGCTTCTGAACATATTTCCCAGTAACCAGAGGCGTATTAAGTTTATGGCCAAGAGGGTCATGGCGCGGGCGGCAGGTAGGGGCGACTTCAAGAGCTGCGAGTGGCAGCAGAGGCTATACAAAGGCAATCGTTACTTTTTAAATACTTCAATATTTTGATAAGATTTACTAATTCTGCGGGTTGCAAATCGTAACTGGCTCTCAGCGCCAGTTTTTAAAATACGCTCCTGCCAGAGACTTACTCGTTGCTTTACAGTGCAAACTTTGGACATATATTTTTTAAAAGTCAACCTATTCCAGTTTATGTTTTACAACCTGAAATACGCCACCATTCATTCGCTTACTTCGGTAATACTTGGAAAAAATCAATACATTCCAATACCTCTCCAAAGATCTACCGCTGAGATGGATTAATTAAAACAAATGGAGGATTTTGAAACTTTGATTAGTCAAAATTGCTTTCGATATAGATTGATCAATTGACAGTAAAACATTTCAAATACCAAGTGAAACGGCTTAAGTATTGAAGAACTTTTTGAGAGGACTAAAACGGTGACTTTATTTAGGTAACGGTTCTACTGAAAAGTACTTACCATTAAGTTGTTTCTATAGACCAAATTGATGTAAGAACCAGTTTGATGTTTAATGTAAATGCCCAGAGAGATATAATTTAAGTACCTACCTGTGTTTAATTCAATTATACCTCTTGTTTTGTACTTTATAATTATTTTGTTTTTTATGTTATTATACAGGTAATAAAAACAAATCTTAGGTGAAATTGCAACTGTCAACCTACTTTGAAATAGTTCATGAATCACGAGATTACCTGCTGCTAGACGGAAGGATGGACAGCGGAAGTGTGGTAATAGGCTACCGTTGTCACCCTTAACACCCATTGGTTGCGGTAACGTAACAAAACCCCGCAAAAGAAACGCTTACATTGGACTTTTTAAGATTTCCCTAGAAATGTATTATGGCCTTAAGTTCACAAATGAATATTGCGCAACAATTCCAAACAAAAATTTAGTTTATACTAAGCAATCAACAACAACGAGCGACTCGGGAAAAATATTGTTGTCCTAATTTATTAAAAAAATAAAATAACCTATCAGTATTCAAATTTTTTAATCCGCCGAAATTCGATCCGATTTAAAGAAATGGACCCAGTATTGTCTTTTAAAACTTCGTTTGTTTAACTTTATGTTAATTACAACGCAACGTAAATTATTGACTTCCATAGTGCTTATCAAAAATTTCGGCGAACAAATGCTCGCTCACAGCGTGTGCGTTAAGTCCGTGACAAGTCCTCGGCGGATATTTTCATCACCATCATCAGTTTCGATCAACAATACTACATTCGAAGCGATTCAGGGACTTTAGTCCTCCGCGCCGCATAAAAGTCTTTCGTCTGCGCAGGCCATTAAGAGGGGAGTCGGGCAATGTTTTTTTGCACAGAAAAGTTCTAGACTGATTCCTTCTTGATTTTTATTACGAAAGAAACTATTTTTGTTCATAAAATATAATTTGACTCATTCTATGCTTCTATGTCTTCCTATTTACGATAACTTGTGTTTCAAAGAAACTAGAAGCCCTCAAAATTCCAAATATAAACGTATTTTTATCAACACTAAAGGCGTCTAGTATGGAGATTGAGTAAGTAGGTATATTTGCAAAAAAAAAACAAAACATAGAAGAGAGAAGCCTTGTATAACTACTTATTATTTTATGGGTAAAATTTCTTTTATATCGAATATATATTTAATACATATTACATATACGTACAAGATATATCTCTTATCTATTAGACAAGTCCGTCCGTCCGTCCGTGGTGCTGTTTCAGCGGCCAAACCGTAAGAGATAGATATAGAGAATGTTTAAGTTATAAGTTAAGAATAGTCTGATAAGACTACAAACCGGATGTGAGTAACGTAGCACTTCCGGTTTTCGAGAAATCACGTGATTTCTATTTCAAACAAAACCACACAAAATCTCCGAAGTTCTCAATTAATTAAATACATTTTTTTTTTGGTGAACATTTGGTTCACTGGTTTGCTAGTATTAGATAATACATGCGCATGGCTGGCTCTCCCTAACCCCAACTTCATTTACCCAACTACGGCAAAGCTAAAGTGAGGGTTCGATGACTATGTTATTCTTTATGCTTTAGAATTAACCGTAAGTAGCGAAAATACACAACCTATTTTTATGAAAGGAGTATTAATCGATCCGTCGTAATTATGTTCGGGGTAACGTAGGCTATATTTGATAGGAATCAAAGTAACATTATGAATATAACGTCCAAAAAGAGAGGCGGTAAATATAAATAAGTTGTAATTGGAGGAGCTTTGTAAAATGTTGAGTTCAAGTATGTACCAAATAATTAGGCTATTTGACAGCAGGCAACGCGATTCTTACGTACCTAGTTAACCACAAAATTTTACAGTATCGACATAGTAAAATTTTATATGGAAGAAGCCAATTTGTTCTGACGACCCCGGTAGGAGCGCTGCGCTGTTTAGTTTTCATAGAAACTTCGGAGATGTGATATGATAAAGGAGGTGTCAAAGATCGTGCTTGGGCATCAGTTTTTAAGTTGGTATACTTACTTGCTTAGTGCAAGTCAACAATTAGAAATATATGAAGAAGTTTATTTGATTAGATTACAATAACTGGTCCAAGACTGGAGTTATTCATGGTAGTCAAAATAATAATTTCGCAACGTCCATAATGACGATTTAGACGATATAGTATTATTAAACAAACCGGAATTTTCTAAGATTGAATATGAACGAATGTGCACATTATGCGTTTCGTTTCATTCGAAACTGTAGTAACTTTTGTAAAAAGTTTAATTATAGGAAAATATTGAATCGTATATATATACGATACAATATTGTATCGTAATGTTTATGATAACGAGTGATCGTAAAAAAACACGATAATCGTATGTTATCTTATCGGTATCGTTGCATCCCTACTAGAAACTGTGCCTGCTCTTAAAACAGGTGGCAGCAGAAACATAGGTCAAAATCACAGAACAGAAACGAAATAGAGTATATTATGTAGGTACGTCACGTGCCAAAAACATGCCAAGGGAGACTACACATCTTCTTTTCCCGCTATTTTATTTCTTTTTATCACTGTTCTGTTTCAATCGGATTTTTTAAATTGTCTAATTGTGCCATAATATAAAACGACAATACAACAATACTGTAAAAACGACAGAATTGAAACGGGTTGCCGGTGCCCATGCTTTTCCACCACTTAAGTCGCCATCATAATAATATATCAAGCTCGGTTTTCATCAAGGAATTTATATACTATTGATAGAATATAGGTTCCTTGGTTTTCGTACAATTTGACGCACATGCGTCGTCTACTTTAATCTAGGTCTGTGGGTGGCAGCCTGTCTAATAGCCCAGACATTATTAAAATAACATCCTCAAGAATACCCAGGTACACATCTACTCGATATTAAAAATGTGCAAGTTACCTACACTTTTTGTTATTTAAGAGCGGACGCGAGCTGAACTAAGAGACATTTAAGAAATTAGTATTTAAAAAACTATTGCTGTCGCGCATTGACAAATACCGTGCGATAGGGACAACGGTAGATAACGCTGAAAATCGCCAATAAAATTGCAAAAGTACGGGTCTGGCTCTCGACGTTTTCCTTCTCGTAGATATACTAGGCCTCTATGTTTTGCTTTTTTGTAAATGCTTATGGAATCCCCACACTAGACAACTTTAGTGGTGATAAAAAATTGTTTATTTTTGTCATTTTTGAGGGCTTCTAGTTTCTTCGAAATACAAGTTATCGAAAAAAGGAAGACATAGGAACATAGAATGAGTAAAATTATATTTTATGTACAGTGACCTATTGGAGGCCCTAGGCATATTAGGATAATGGGGCCCCTATGACCCCCGTTTGGTGATCTAACAGGACTTTGTATTTGATCTGAAGTGGATCGATCGCGGGGCCCTGGGCACTTGCCCAAAGTGCCCACTGGGAAAGAGGGGTCTGTTTATGTATAAAAATCATTACTTTAGTGATAAAAATCAATGAGGAATCTGTCGAGAACGTTTGTATGGAAAAAACAATGCCCACCTCTCCTCTTAATAAGACATATCTGCTGTGGATAAGCACGTATGATAGTTTTTAATTCGTATTCGAATGTAAGTACAAACTCGCTTTTCATATCCGCATCCACGGTGTGATTTAAAATTAGATTCGATACGGATTTCAAATAAATTTCAATTCACACCGGCGGAATCCGCGGTGAAAAGTGAGTTTGTTCTTACAGAATAGTACCACTCAAATCAGACGGCAGTAAAGCTCTTCATTCGCTTTGAAAGGGAAAATATTCCCAGTCCACATGATAAATTCCGTGCCGAGACAAAACCCAAGGATACTTAGATAAATAAATAAATTAAACAATTATTATGTCAGTGTACATTTAATAAAGTATGGATAGAAAAATAACTTTCTAAGGTACCTGAGAATCTCTAGGACACATCACAGAACACATTATAAAGAGGTCCTGCTTCTATGTTCTGAGGACCTTTTTCTGAAGAGGAGAAGGACCTCTTTCTACGTTCTGTGACGTAAATCATCACGTCGGTCGCTGTCTTCCGACTAGCCAGGGTCGTAACCTTTAGTCTAGCAAACGTCGAACAGCATCCACAACACAACAACTAACTAATCGATAAATAGATATAACGTAAATAAAAAAAACGGTATTTTACTCACCGCGCCGAAGTCGTCTACTTCACCAACGTTAACCGCTAAACGACAATGATATAATGCGAGCTCCTTCACCACAATAGTCAAATAAAAAACGACAGTGAAACTAAATAAAAACACAAACACAACACCAAACCTCAGAGCGCACAAGTTTTGAGTAGCATCACTCTAGTTTTTCATTTAAACAGACCGCTCTATCCGATGGTTACTTAATCATTTCAATATGAAATTGCGTAGCTACTCGCGTTTCGCGACGGCCGTACAGATTCTCGCAGCGACTTTAAGAGGACTGAGGGAGGGTTGAGCTTACAGGAAAATATCAACCCTCAGCCGGGAATCGACGACAGTTCACGATCAAAGGAGCTCACAGACTGCTGCTGACTCGCTCGCATCGTTGACTCAGCTATGAGTCAGAAGAGGTCAGATTGATTCCGCGAACCGTCCGCTCATATTCTTCGGATAGAACGAACCGATACGAAGTTAGTCGGCGATCAGCGACTGCCGACGAAAGCTCAATGAGCAACGATAATTCATTATAATTCTGAAAAGGACATTTCCCAGATACCTCCATCGGCTCCCGGCCGCTTCGAATTTATAAAGGCGTACCAAAAATTCTGTTTTCATTAATTCAATTAAGAGGCAAATATTCGGTGCTTTTCCATTCCTTATTGACTAAGTATAGCGGTTACATGCTTATTTATAATTTAAATTAGTTAACAAGACTTTAAAATAATACATAATACTTATTTCGACGACCTCCGTGGCCGAGTGGTTTGTACGCCGGGTTTCATGGCTGTCGCCGACTCGAGAGGTCCCGGGTTCGAATCCCGGTGGGGGCAGATGTTTGTGTGATGAATACGAGCATTTGTACTCCAGTCATGGATGTTTAATATGTATTTATATAAATACACTTATATATGTACAGTGTATGTATTCTATCCGTTACCCTAGCATCCCATAACACAAGCCTTACAGAGCTTACTTTGGGGCTAGGCTAATTGGTGTGAGTGTCGGAAATATTTATATTTATTTATTATTATTATTTAATCGATAAAATGATATTTAACTTGCGGCCGCCCGCGACTTCGTCCGCGTTAACTTAGTTTAATTTTTCAAAAACCCTCAGGAACCTAACACTAACCTAACCTAACACAACAAAAGTATCCTTAATCTCTTTCCAGGTTAAAATCTGTCTGTGTGTAAAATTTCAACCAAATCTATTTAGCCGTATTTGCGTGATTGAGTAACAAACAAAGTGTGAAATGAGTATGAAAAACTCAAAAACTGAAAACATAATCAGTTATATTTCTAGCTAACTTTTTATACCTAGTTTTTAGAATATCCCTCAGGAAACTTTTCCGGCATAAAAATTATCCTATGTCTCAATTCAGCTCATAAAATATATGCGTACCAAATTTCATCCAAATCCGTTCAGTAGAATTTGCGTGATTGAGTTACAAATATACAAACACACAAACTTTCACATTTATAATATTAGTAGGATCATAGAAATTCAAAATATGAAAGGAGATTGCTCAGCTTCCATACATGTTTGGCCTAAAGACCAATAATCATGAAAAATTGTTTCCTAGATCCGAACTTATATATAAATTACTGTAGAAACGAATATTATTCACGGACACTCCTGAGAACTTCTATAAACCATATACACTGAACATATTAAAATAATGAAAAACAAATAAGTTATATAGTAAACTAGGGAAATCAAGCCAAGTACCGAAATTATGGATTAGATTCAGGTTTAAAGAGCATGTAGATTAACAGATAGTTGCCTGTTTTTAAAGTTAATGCATAAGAGTAACTTTTAAAATCAGGTATCATTTCCGGTTATAATAAGGTACTCTGTGACAGAAACTGTGTGATGATTGTGAATGAGCCACAGATTAGAGAGAATTTTTAAACTCTCGTTAACCAAAGAAAGCTAAGAGATTTAGGTTCTATAGCCATATATTCAGTAGCTTCGTTATTTTTGTTGTTTTTAAGATAACCATATTTTAGATTTTTAGATAGATAGATTAACACTTTATTATAAACACCAAATAAATAATTACGTAACATTCACAAACAATAATATTAACAAAAGCGTTATAATTGGCGGTCTTATCGCTAAGAGCGATTTCTTCCAGACAACCACTGAGTATGAAAAGTTAGTGTATCACACCTTATAATTTTATTTATTTATTAATTTATAGTCAGTGAACGTAGGCCCATAGATAGATACCTTAAAGTCTAACATATATACAGATTATAATGTGTTTATGGAGGTGTTTGGCGAAAAATGTATGGCAATAGAGTTTATGATGTCGCCTACCATCTATAATAATTGTCTGAGCACATTTGCATCTAGTGAAAATGATAATATAGTTGTGGATATGAATACCACAGTGTAATAAAAAAAATATTTTTTTTATCGATCTTTACAAAATAGATTTGTTTTTATGTTATATAAACAACTTCGATCAGTCTTTGGCTGAATGTTACTACACCCATAGCCATTAAAAATGATTCGTATGTTTTCCAAGCCGGTAAAATTAAAAGTCCTTTTAAAGTAAATATATTATACAAAAGTGTCCGTTAAAATCTAATGACTGTAAATTAAATTATAAATTACGCCAAGAATTATCGTGTATGTCAATATTTTTTGTGCATTTGGGCCAATCTCCTTTCAAATGTTTATTTAAAAAAAACAAAAATATACAATCTCTTGGGTTTTTTTTTATATTCTATTTTCTTCGCTTTATTACAATGGTCTGGGTTATTTGGTTTGTTTCTTCTATGTGTTTTTAATTGTTTTTGTCAGACCCAGTCCCGGGGTGACGCTATTCCATACGTCCCCGGGGGCTGGGGAATCTCTTGGGATTAGTAGGTAATAGTGGGGATTGGTAGGTGAAAAGGGGATTAGAGGGTGAAAGGGGATTCAAGGGTGAAAAGGGATTCGAGGGTGAAAAGGAGGGTTGGAGTGTAAAAGGGATTCGAGTGTGATAAGGGGATTGGTGGGTGTTAGTGGGGATTGGTGCGTGATAGTGGGGATTGATGGGTGATAATAGGGGATTGGTGGATGATAGTAGGGATTGGTAGGTGAAAAGGGAATCGGAGGGTGAAAAGAGGAGTGTAAGGTGTAAAGAGGATTCGAGGGTGAAAGTGGGGATTGGAGGGTGAAAGGGCTTCGAGGATGATAATAAGGGATTGGTGGGTGATAGTGGGGATCAATGGGTGATAATAGGGGATTGGTAGATATAAGTACTGTTTTCTCGCAAATGTGTTGAAAAACGTTGCATGATATTCGTGTGGAATGGTAGTTACAAACTCGTGACTCAGGTAACTCGTTTATATTAACTAAATTACCGCACTTGTATCATAAATAACTATTTCCTCTTTTTACCCGACTGCGCAATGCAAGAACGCGAATCGCGACGCGCACACAGGGTATAGTGTTTAACAGTCTATATATGTATGTATGTTTCTTTGTGGCACACTAGTGACCAAACGCGTAGACCGATTTTGATGATTTAACCGTCAATCGATTCGTCTTAATCATGGGAGTGCTACTAAAGTTATTATATTAATCGAAATTTAATATGAGAATAATTAGGAGCTATATTGCCAGGAAGAAAAAAGTTGACGAAATATGTCGAGTGGGGTATCATTGTGTAGATAGATAATCGAAAAATCATGTTAAGGTTCCTCACACTATTGTTAATTTTATATGACTGTTTAGGATCTACAACGATTTAAAGTTGTATATAAGCACTTGCGCTTATAATTTAAATATTATGTTTGTAGGAATTTTGTTACAATTTCACTCAAAAAAATTCTTAATGTATTTTAATGAAACTTAACAATTATATTGTTCATACATAATAATAACATAAAGTTAATAATTTATGAAGTTATGGAGTGAATCGGCCAAAATATAACAATAGGTGTCACCTAAGACGGCTAAAATCTCCCATCTGCGATCCATTTTTGCCTGCACTGCAAAAACAATAAAAGTTACATGAATATAATGTATAGTGGAAATGTATCTCTTAAATTATTCTACAAAAGAGTACGCGACATATCTTTTTTTAATGTGTAAGCCATTATCGCTAAAATGGTGAATCAAAAATAAAAAAAAATTTGATATCCATTTCCAAAATGCACATCTTGTATTAACAAATTATCTTTGATCAAAACAAATACTTTTATCGCTTTTGATATCTAAAGACAATAAACTTTGCCTTTTACACTGTCATTTCGATAAATATTTAAAAAGTTACAACGATAAAAAGTGATAGCGCGATGTACAGTTACTAAAATGTTACTTAACATAATGAGAAATAAATAATTATTCGCTAATCGCGATAATGTTGATTTTGTAATTATAAACAATCACCCCTTCCATCACCCTACCCCTATAATTATTTCGATAATGTAGCTTAGAACCAAGGACCCATCTATATCTATGGGCAATTCATCATAATCGATTTAGCTATTAGGACGCGAAAGCGTAACAAACAAATTAACAAATTCATTTTCGCATCTATAATATTTTATTATACAAGTGATCTGCCCGGGCATTGCAAGTGCGAAATTTATTTTAACGAGATAAAATATAGCCTATTTCACTCGGATATAAAGTAGTTACAAAGTAAATTTCTACTAGAAAAATTTCGTCTCACAGAAGTTTTCAGAGTGGATTTTTTCAAGTATATTTTTTCTTTAAATTTATGAATCAAGCAGATTAATCAACGATATTGAGATAAATACTTAGTTGAAAATTTAATAAATAATGTAGCTACCTTATGGTGAATGAATTTCGAAATTGGTTCAGTAGTTTGAGAGATTCTGTTACAACTCTTGCCTTATAATATTATTATACATAGTTAGGATAAAATAATATTTCAACGATGAAAATATTTTATTGATTATATTTGTAAAAGTTACTTAGCATTTTTGGTAAACAGTGATTCATTATTCGCTAATTTATACATGCTTATTCTTATTTTGTTTATAGGTAGAAAAAAATATTTGGAATTGCACCATTTGCAATACCTACTAGGCTGGTAGTAGCATGATTGATAGGTTAAAGTACTCTTTATTCGAGCATTACACTGCCATTAAAAAGGATAAACCAGAAATCCTGCGACCTGTAACTGGTGAACGCTTTATAAGAGAACGACAAAGATGTAAATCTAAACATTGGGTAGTAAATGTAATATATAAAATTCTCGTGTCCCGGTGTGCGTAATTGAATTCCTCCGAAACGGCTCGACCGATTTTCGTGAAATTTTATATGCATATTCAGTGGGTCTGAGAATCGGACAACTTCTAAATTTCATCCCCCTAAATGTTAAAAGG